ACGTTGTATGCTTTGAGTTTGCAAAAAAAAAAAGAAATATGACAATAGCGTCTTAAGAGCTATTTATAGACGCAAAACGGGAGATGTCCTGTAACGTGTCACACTTGGGCTCCTGACAGCAATGCAGATTTTATATAAGATGTACGCAATAGAGAAGCTGTTTTACAACGTGCGCGAAATAGATGTGATATAACATGCGAAGCTTAGAAGCCGGCCCAGAATGAGGGAAGTTACTTATAACGTGTGAAGCTTAGGCAATGAAAGCCCCCCCCCCCCCCCAAAAAAAAAAAAAATTGTTTGAACGTTGAAACAGTGAATGTACCGAGAGATAGGCGTTACTCCATTTGGGTTTGTTAGCAGGACTCTAAATGCAAAGAGCAGTATTATCAGAAATGCAACTTCAAGAAAAAAAGCAAACTGAGTAAGTGTATATGGATACCACTGATATGAACTAAAATTAGAACACGTTTCAACTAACCCACCATTACTACAGCATTGTTTAATCAACACTAGTTATCAAACATTACTTCGTATCACTGCCTCTGCGGTGAATAAAAATTGTACAAGCGTTATATATGCAAAAGAAAGATGAAACTTCTTCTCGGAAATTCCTCAGTAACGCTATAGCGTCATAAATAATGCCGAAAAGAACGTGGTCTAACCATACAGTTTCAGAGACGCGGTGTGTGGTGAACACGCATAATATTGCCATTAATTTTGACATCTGGTGGTTTCAAATCAAGTCTGCTCCCGCAAAGTCCGGTGTCTATTTGTGGCCCCAACACAGCTACTGCTGCGACCTCGTAACTCAGCAGCACAACAACGTCGTTGCCTTGAGGGGCCACAGAGGCAGCGGACAGTGTCCGTTAAAGCCGACGTGCGCGCATGCCGCGAAAGTTCGTGGCTGTCTCAGCGTGCTCGCACACACTGCAGTGACCACGAGAGGGTTGGACCCGGTTGAGCTGAAACTGAAGTATACTTCACTATAGCAGAAATGGGTGGAGCCACGTCTAATTTGGCTTGGCGTTCACGGAAGACAGATGGGGGTACCAGCCTTCAGATGGAGACGCAGCAAAGAAGAGAGAGAGAGCGAGACATTGAGAATGAGAGAGAGGGAACGGCGTCAGAAACTCTGCATGCTTTACGCGTGGACGCTGGCGTCGTATACGGCCATCCATCTCCGGCGCGGACAGAGAGGTCCTGGTTGGACGAGCAGCACAACATCTATAGCGAAGTGCGCAGATGCGAAGATGCAAGCTTTTTTTATTGCGGGCTTCGTTTGTTGTTGTTGCCGGCCTACAAAGAAAGTAAATCTTCTTGTTCGTGCTCTTTCTTGTCTTTCCGTCGGCTCAGTGACACCGTTTCTATGTTTAGATTTATTCTATATCAAATAAGCGATAGGTGAAAATAGCGACCGAATATCCGAGCATGCGCATCAACGAAAATAGGCAAGCGAGGAAAGACAAAAAAAAAAAAAAAAACTAAGTGCATGCAGATAACTGAAACATACGCGAAACTTTGTAAGGTGTAGATATGCACAAGTTGTACATACAAATTTTTGGTAGTTTTGAACAGGAATTGCGCATCTGGCCAAGAGTTATGAAAGTATAGCGTAAATATCATTCCAAGTAGATGGCCGTACTACCATGGTCGCGAGAAACGTGGTACTTGTTCTTTATAGTTTTTTTTCACACGCTGGAAAACATGTTTTTTTTTCTTTGTTTAGACTGGTGAACCTGACGCCCATTGTCTGTGAAAATGAAAGCTCATGAGCGCACTTGAAAGATAAATCAATCAAAGTTAAGATACGAAGCCCTATTTATGATTGAAAGATAACGGCGTTTGTATTCGAACACATGCACAGGCTAAGTTCCAATTCAATCCCGTAATATTTCAAAGCAGTTTTTGACGGCGGCAGTATGAAATGTTCCAGGTCAACGAGGTTTGTTAAGCGACCACTCGGCTGTAGTTAACAACCAGCGATGTGTTGGAACTTGGCACATTGCGTCAAAACAGAATGTTTAGACCCAATGTGCCAGACCTAAACAGAATGTTTGGGTCTAAACAGCATGTTTAGACCCAATGTGCCAGACCCAAACAGAATGTTTGGGCCTAAACAGAATGTTTAGACCCAAACACGCAAGTACTGTGAATAATGATGTGTGTACTTCCCCAGTATGCATTAATGCAGGATTGCTGATTCCTCATAAGTCTGTTTGTGTTGCCTTGAGGAAGCGACGATGTAGAAAAGAGTACATGTAAAAAAGTACACGCCCACTGTTTCACGTGACGCGTTTGCACACACACACACACACACACACACACACACACACACACACACACACACACACACACACACACACACACACACACACACACACACACACACACACACACACACACACACACACACACACACACACACACGCACGCACGCACGCACGCACACGCACACACACACACGCACACGCGCGCGCATGCACACACGTAGTGTTTCAAACAGTTAATGTACAAGAAACAGTTAATGTACAAGTTTTGCAAGAGTTGTTCTCAGTGTTGTGGTACATAATGCTTTAAGCCGCCAATTTTTTTATATTCTTTAGACATAGTGAAACGGATGTCTAATCCATAAAGCAATCAAATAATGTGTAGTTTTATTATTCGCATGCTGGAAACTGAGTGCATTGTGAATACACGTAATAAGGAAGAAAGAAAGAACAGAGAAAGGAAATGATAAAGCAAACGTAACCTGAAAACCCCTCAGCAAGATAACATGGCGTTCAAGAAGAACTGCTTTCAGAAGGCATGCAGCGTGAGGTTTAGAAAGGTCTTTGAACCGAGCCAAAAATCATAATGGCGACGCGCTACATGATACTCGGTCGCATAAAACATCACGTCCACTCTCCCCTTCTATCCTTACACTATTTCTCATCATCCTCAGCACACAAAAACCAAGACGGCGTCTCGCCGTCTAGACATACACTCCCTTCCGTAACCCGCTGGGGTAAAACGCCGCCTGACGAAAACGAGCGGAAATGACGTATGCGGCCGTTGTGATGCCATTTCCGTGTCGCGTATAGACTGTGTACACGCATAGGCCGAGGTTGGGCGAGCGAGGAAGAGTCGTGCCGCTGGATGCGAAATTGCGTGACGACATCCTCAGAAATGCCGCATGAGCGCGTTGCCGCCAGCTTCCTCTATGTATACACGTTCCTGGTTGCAATATTTTACGAGTTGCCATTTGATTCTCTCGCGTCTTGATGTACATCATGGTCACATTTTCTTTGTTTCAATCGTTCACTATATATTTCGTTTTATTATTTCCGTATCGCAATAACGTGCATATACCATAAGTCCAAGACGCATCCTGAACAGTGGTCTGTAACATTGGCGTCATGCGCGGTAGCCTTTAAAAAAAAGAAAAAGAAGCCTTCCGTCTGAATTAAAGGCTAGAGTTTTTTTCTTTTTACATTGTAAATTTTCTTTTGAGACACTTTTCTGTTTTTTCTTCTCGTATATTGCTGTTTCTCTCTGGCTACCACTCGATTCGCTGAAACTACACTTCTCCCCCCCCCCCCCCCCCCAAAAAAGTAATAATAAAAAAAGATAGACGCACTGAAGTTGTGTGCGGACGTTACCAGTAAGATTTATGTGGAGAGGCGACAAAATAACAACACAGATGACAACAACGACAACCTACAAGTTTGCAAGGAGTGACCACTTCACCCGCAAAGAGAGAAAGCGTCGTAGGCTGGAATGCCATCGTAGCCTGAAAATAAGTTCTTCCCGACTATATAAAAAAAAGAAAACAAAAACGAAAGAATAGAAAGAAGGAAAGAAAGAAAGAAAGAAAGAAAGAAAGAAAGAAAGAAAGAAAGAAAGAAAGAAAGAAAGAAAGAAAGAAAGAAAGAAAGAAAGAAAGAAAGTGCGCAGTGCATGCAATGGAGCTAGAACGCTACAAACTCTCACACGTCGGCGCTATTTACGTACGGCGCCATGGATTTCTATGGCTTGTCATTGCAGTGCGCGAATACATCCACAAAGCGAGCCGAGTAAGATGCAGGGCGCAGGAAAGGAGCACAATCCTTTCAGGTCACAGCTGAAATAGCTAGTGTTAAAAATTTTGCTTTTGCGGACGTACGGTGAGCGGTACAATCTCGTAAGCATCGAGAAAAGAAAGAAAGAATGTGGGCATTTTCAATGTGGGTACTGCTTTCTTTTGTCAATGTTGCGGGATTTCAGTTCACAAAAGGGCACGGCGATTGAAGAATCTCCGAGTTTAAACGCGTCTCATTATTCCTTGGAGTCGACTATACAAGCTTACGCTTTACGCGAGCCCATTCTCGTCGTAGAGAAGCGCTACAGTGTAAATTCCTACAGTATATTGATAAATAACTATGCAAAAGTGACGTGAAATCCAATTTCGTACTTCGAGCGTTAGTGTTTTCTTTTACCCTGAACTTCATTTAATGAAGAATAGCTTATTCTAAGCACAAGGAAGAATTTATTTTTAATTTAGCGCAAGATGAGAGCAACCATACAGTCAGTGTTGCGTCAAGTGTTTCAACATATCTTCTTTCGTGCGAGTCGTTTTCACAGCGACGTGACGCCTCCATAAATTCAGCAAGTTCAGCCTTTGAGCTTTGGAGGTGCGCTTATGTTATCCACGAAAACTTACAAAACGAATGGAACAAACAAAAATACCAAGCACATGTTACTGACACAAGGGCGCAGAGCACGAACTTTCGCTTGAGCTAAGCGTAACAAGAAGGCATCAGTTTTTCGGATGGTTTCTCCGAACTCTTTCTTTCTTTCTTTCTTTCTTTCTTTCTTTCTTTCTTTCTTTCTTTCTTTCTTTCTTTCTTTCTTTCTTTCTTTCTTTCTTTCTTTTTTCGTTTTTTTTACTGTTCATGAACTGTAAGTCAAAACATATAACTGTGCAAGACGCGAATGTGGACGACCATAGATAGGCATGCCCAGATGACGTGCGCAGTACACACCTTTTATGAGGACGTTCTTACTGAAGCGAAGGTGCTCCTCGTTTCTGTTCCAAGGCATCGGTTACTTGAACAACGCGGCGCCAGGTTCGTTGCGTCTGCAAAAGCGTAAGAATAACGAGAAACGTTGTTCGTTCATTGGAAAGCAATTTCACTTCACCGAGAGACAGTGACTGGACGTCAAACAAGGAAAGTAAAGAATATCAAAACGAAAAACAAGAAAAAAATTCGGAATGAAACATTAAAATTTGGATGTCCTATCAGCAAGCCGAAAATCTTAGAACAAAATAAGCTCGTCAGATCTCTGTTAGGCTTCCTTATTTGCATGAGTGTACATGCTAACCACATGTTACTATATAAAAAACTATCCCAGTGTGATGAGTGTAAACCCATGTAGCTGCTCTTTGTTTGTTTGTTTCTTTCTTTCTCTCTTTCTTTCTTTCTCTCTTTTTTCTTTCTTTCTTTTTTCTGTCTTTCTTTTCTTACAGTAACAAATATAAAGAAGGCTTTCTCTCTCCGGCTTATTCATAAAGACTTTGTCTTTTGTACACATTTGTACGCACATGCCGATAAAGCTGTGGAAACAAAAGAACGCGCTGTGGAATTGATAAAAAAAAGAGTACACGCATAAGCTTACATGATGTGCCTTTACATAGTGCACCAAGGCATTCTAAGAACAAAAGAAAATAAATCAACGCGAACTAAAGTAACATAAAACACGACAGCAGGTTCGCTAAGAGAAAGCAAATGTTTTCGTTCGAGACTCATGGACATACATGTTTCATCTATACGGGTTTCACTTCGTTCCGCGCATTTCAATACAGATTTATGCAAACGAGAGAAAGAATTTACATGTTACCAACGGAAACATCTTTTTTTCTTATAAGAAAGGAGGGACGGTATACGAAAAGCAGGTAGACTGTACAGACAATTGTAGGCAATCTGTTGACGGTAAGAGCGCTAGGCAAACGCCCGAAGGCACGGAAACATTGTGGGAGAACTGGGAAAAGAAAAGAAAAACTGAATGTATGTACACGGTAAGGTACTATTGCCTGACGCACTTCGTAGTTCGTTTTCTCGGTCGGATGCGCGCTTGGCCGCTGCACTGCGTACTTCAGTCGCCCCGAAATTCGGCGGTGTAGTTCTTTATAGTGCAATAAAAACGAGCGAACACTCGGAGTCGCTTTAGGTGCAGGACTTAAATCGCTACTGTTTGTCGAGCTTCCCTAAAGTCGTTGGAAGGTTGTTGCCCTTGGAGAAAAGGGCGATTCGAGTGAGATGCAACGAATATGCTGTATAGCCCCTTTGTCTAGATTTCTTAAAACTTTTTGTGTAGTTTTTAAACAGAGACAAACAAAGAGTGGTGAACGAAAAGTTTCCCGGAAAGTGTTTTTCACTTTCACACAGATTGTTGATACGGGTAAGATTTCGGGACGGCTCCTGCAGCAACAATCGCCTATGCAAAAGCGAGAAAGAAATGAGAGCGTTCTTTGAGCTCGGAAGAAAAGTTCATGTAAACTTGGCTGCGTGAATTATTCAACACAATTCATCCTCTCTGTGATGAGCACGACTATGTAAACGAGACATACAGTCCTTTACACTATAAGTAGCTCAGATTATGCTCTGGAAATCTCGCACACCATATTTTATTTTATTTGCAATACTGTCGACTCCAATGTTGGAGTCATTACAGAGGGCACATTGCAGGTAGTATACATTCATGAAGAACAAACAATAACATTCCAACTGACATACATAAGCCTCATCCAGTACCTTCTGGCCTGCTACAGTGCGCCGTGCAAAAAAGAAAAAGAAAAGAGGAAAATAGCAAAGGTACGTGAAGCATTGAAGCACTACTGTAGATTACGCATGGTTTCTAACACTGCGGTGAACGTGGATAGTGTGTCGGCATTAGTAGCATTTGCATTCAGTTTATTCCATTCGCGTATTGTTATAGGGAAAAACGATTTTCCAAAGACGTCACTGTTTGAGGAATATTCTTGCAGACTGTGTTTGTGCTTATGACGAGTAGGGCGTGACTGTGAAAATGTGACGTACTTAGACACATCTACCTTGTAGTGGCCATGTAACAACTGGTACAAGAACCTCAGGCCTGCCTCTTTTGCCCTAGTAGCTAGTTTTTCAATGCCAGAAGAAGCCAGAAGGTTAGTGGGAGAATCTGTACGTTTGAACTTGTTGTGTACAAACCGTATGGCTTTGCGTTGTACTGCCTCTAATTTACTAATACCACTTAGCGTATAAGGAAACCAAACTACGTTGGCATATTCTAATACTGGTCTTACGAACATGGTATAAGCCAAGAGTTTTGCGGGCGCTGGTGCAATTCTAAGTCGTCTTTTTAGGTAGAAAAGTTTACGCAGTGCGGCCGCAGTGACGTTAGCTATGTGTGTATCCCATCTCAGGTCAGACGTTAATGTAATGACCAAGTACTTATGCAGCACAACATTAGTCAGTGGTGAACCATGAATGGTGTAGATGAATTGCGATGGATTCTGCTTACGTGTTACCGTCATAGCTGCGGATTTTTTTCACATTGATGGACATTTGCCACTTAGCGCACCAATCTGCTAGCTTGGTTAGACATTCATTGAGATTAATGTGGTCTGTGTAGCTCGTTACCTCCTTATAAATAATGCAGTCATCTGCAAACAGTTTGATATTACAGGTAATGTTTGACGTGAGGTCATTTATGAAAATTAAAAATAGTAGTGGTCCCAAGACGGAACCTTGAGGGACCCCAGAAGTTACGGGGACTATGTTTGATATATGACCTTCATACTGCACGAACTATGAGCGATTTGTTAGGAAATTTTCTATCCAAGAAAACAATAACCCCTCTCCTATCGAACTTTTCAGTTTAATTAGTAACTTTCTGTGACATACGCAATCGAAAGCCTTAGAGAAATCAAGTAAAATTATGTCTGTTTGGCGACGATTATTTATGGTAGAAGCTAGATCATTAACTACCTCCGTTAGCTGCGTAACAGTGGACAGGGCACTACGAAATCCGTGTTGATTAGGAGACACAAATTTTATTTTCTCGAGAAAAACAGTTATGTGTTTGAGGATGATATGCTCTAGTAGCTTACATGAAATGCTAGTTAGGGATATCGGCCGGTAATTTGAAACCAATGACTGTTCTCTTGATTTATGAATAGGTATTATTTTTGCAATCTTCCAGTCATCTGGCAGCTGGGATGAAGTAAGCGACTTTCGAAAGATTAACCCAAGAAACTTGCTACACCATTCCACGTACCTCTTAAGGAACTCGTTAGGAATATCATCTGGACCACTCGATTTTTTAGGATCTAAGTTAAGAAGCAAGTTCAGTATTCCTGTATCTGTGACCGATGCTCGGCGAATCGAGGGATAATACTGGAGGAGTGGCACCATTATCAGTCGTGAACACTGATTGGAAAAAAAATGTTGTATTCGTTAGCCTTTTCCGTTCTTTCCCCTGAATCCGTGTGCGACTGTGTATTATTGCTAGTGCGAAGGTATCTCCAAAATTTGCTTGGATTGCTTTTAATAAAGCTTGGAAGTGTAACACTAAAATAATATTGTCTGGCAGTTTTCTTTTTTTTTTTTGTTGCTTAAACTCTGATTTTGCACACTGCAGCTTCTGTTGAATGTACGATTTACACTTATGGTTTTTCGCAGCCACACGCAACCTTTTTAACCTACGCTTGGCCTGGATAACCTCACGTGTTATCCAAGGATTATTCCCTGGAGCTTTCTTGTGTTTCTTTGGTATGAAGTTAGTGACACAGTACATAACAGTAGATTTGAAACTTAGCCAAAGTAGATTAGTATGACTTCTTGGGCGTGCTTGCGAGTACTATGCAACCGTCAGCTTCGTCAAAGAGGCGTCGCAAGGAAGGTTGGCGCGGGTGTTGTACCTTTAGAGGTGCATTACCATTTCGTGTATGGTTTTGAATAATTCATAACAAAAAAAAAACTGAACACCTGAAATGACCGCCAGTGGTTGAACAGGGTGGATATATTACTAACGTTGCGGTCGTGCTAGCACTCTCTGTAAAGTTGTTTGCGTCTCATGGCACACGCTTGTCGCGTAAATTAGCCGTGGTTTGGTTTAACAGTCAGATGTGGCGCTGTGCTAGCATTGGTTACGATTAGCGCGGTGGCGCCAGAAGCACCACCTGGAGAGGCTAGGCTGACGCACCGAGAGCAGTGGCGACGGTAGGTTCGGCGGTGTGTCCACGGGGACAACGCCGCGGTCGCTTTCCGTGGACCCCTCGGGGTAAGTAGAACGTCCCCGGCGGCGCATCCGCAGTCTCTTGGATTGTTTATTTTGCTTGTGTGTTATAGCGGCATATCGTACTAGGTTAATTAGCCCGTATTATAACGCACTATATGACACTGTCAGCTGATTTCGTCGTCACCGCCACCATTATGCCCCGTATATATATATATATATATATATATATATATATATATATATATATATGCGTGTATGCGTGTGTGTGTGTGTGTGTGTGTGTGTGTGTGTGTGTGTTGTGTGTGTGTGTGTGTGTGTGTGTGTGTGTACGACGCAGAGAGTAAGTAATCAATCAGAACAAAAATTTCAAGGCACCCATTGGGGGGATACGAGCTAGCGATTTCTCCCTCCTTAGCTCGCAGCGTTTACTAACTAGTTCACGCCAATACTGCTATTCATCTCCCTAATGGCGAGCTATACATATACACTATTTACCATTGGCTCACTGTGAATGAACTTAAAAGAAACATTTTTGAACAAAGCGTTTATATCTCGCTATGTAGGACGAAAAATGAGACAGCTAGTTCCGCCGAAATGTGTAACTAGCGAATCCCCCATGGTGGGTGGGAGCTATATATCGAAGAACAAGTAAGCAAGCGAGTTTATTCCACCATCCGGCTGCCTCCGATGTCGACGCCCACACTGCAATGTCTGGGACAATCTGATGTGGACGTTTTGGTGAAGTGCATTGGAAATGCACTTTTCGCTAACGTCACTGGCATCGTCGACATCGACTGACGCCAACCAAGGAAACGCCGGACAAAAACCGCTGAAAACGCTGAATGTAGTTCGGCCTTT